GGTTATTATAAGACTAGTGTTGAGTACTTTCGACATTAGTTTAGTACAAATATCGTTAAATCTATTTAAGATAGTATTATGAAGGGGTGTTTAGTCGTTTATATAACTATAAGGTCATTAAGTAATTATGGAGGGTAGTTTTTGTAAATTTAATTACTATAAATAAGAGGCTTGGGCTCTCATATTTCTTGCACCATTATCTTGATTAAGAGTCTTTCTCTTCTTATCCCCCGAGCATTTCGGTCCCTTGTGATTCGACTTCTCTTTCTGTAGTTTTAGTATAGTAAGGTGAGCGCTAAAGCGCTGCACAAATCTTTCTTAGAAAGATTCAGCGACGAAGTTCTGCCCCTGCAGAGCCCGACTCCTAGCTAAAACCCCCTTTTAAGTAAGTTATGCTTACCCTATTTTAATATAGCTTATATTTAAAATTAGTATTCTTATTATGAACTTATAATAAATATTTGAGCTATTATTATAACTTATATAAGTGTCGTTATAATATCTTTTTAACTACTCGCGGTACGGGGAATCTGGTTTAAAGGGCCGCATAGGGTTGCTGGATTTCAGAAGTGCTATATGCGAAAATGGTCATGCCCTCCGGTGTTTTATGGCTCGCCCCTTTCTGTACATAGTGGTTGGAAAGTATTGTTTAAACGCTTTTATAATAATAATAATAAGACTAATAATTAGTCACGGTAAATATTAGACTAAAATCTAGTGGTAATAATACTAGGTTTCGTCGAAGGAAATTATTTTAAAGTAAACGAAGCGTTGTCCGAGTACCGAGTCACCACCTTATCAAGTGAGTGCATAGTTACTTTCATCTTACACATAGATATGAAGTATTTAATATAAATTACGTGTTGTGAGTGCATAGTTACTTTCATCTTACACATAGATATGAAGTATTTAATATAAATTACGTGTTGTGAGTGCATAGTTACTTTCATCTTACACATAGATATGAAGTATTTAATATAAGTTACGTGTTGTGAGTGCATAGTTATTTTCATTTTACACATAGATATGAAGTATTTAATATAAATTAAGTGTTGTGAGTGCATAGTTACTTTCATCTTACACATAGATATGAAGTATTTTATATAAACTACGTGCTATGTGTGCATATTATCTGTATACTTGCTATCTATGCTGGATGAACGATTTTATACAAGTTTTATATGATTTAAACTGTATATGTATTTATATCTACATAATATGTTGGGTAAAATATGGGTAGATGAAATATGAGTTGGATGATGAGTTGAGAGGTGATATAGATCATGAGGTAAGGGTGAGAGGTGGACGATGTGAGAAGCCTTGTTCCCAAATGTTGACCCCGTCATCTAGCAGAGTATGGATGACAACCACGGACTATTCTAGACAGTCCAGTGGAACACTAGCAGGCTCGCAACCTGTAGGTGTTGTGAACGATGTGTTCACCCGGTGTACTCTAAACCCTGGCGATCATGCAGACTTGGTGCCTAAGCCTTGGCGATCATGCAGACTTGGTGCCAAAACCCTGGCGACTATGTGGACTTGGTGCCTGTTGTATAAACCCTGGCGACTATGCAGACTTAGTGCCTAAAACCCTGGCGACTATGCGGACTTAGTTCCTGTTGTATAAATCATGGCGACTATGCAGAATTAGTGCCTAAACCCCGGTGATGATGGACTTCATACCGATTCCTTAGGATGATCCTTAGGAATGAATGAACGAGAAATAGCTGATTCTTAGGGTAGATCCTTAAGAATAAATAAGATAATGGGTATGGGTAATTGGGTTAATTGTTTGATGATTAAACCTAATAATTATATTAATGTGGGTTGAAAACCCTATGTACTCACCAGGTTTCCCAACCTGACCCACTCAAGCTTATTTGTATCATAGGTGTCGATATGAAGTTAAATTACACTGAGAGATTAAAGAGGTGTAGATCACTAGTGTAAATGAATGTAAGTTATGTTTATGCTTATGTTTATGTATTGACAATGACATCCCAAATGTTTTAAAATGAATAAAAATACATTTCTTCGGAAATGCTTTGATAACGTATTTATCATGTTTTACTGGGAACAAATTCCGCAACAATTTTTATTAAAATAAGTACCCTGATTTTTATAAAGCATAAACAAAAATCGGTCTTTTCTGGCCGTGAAAATGGGGATGTCACAGTTGGTATCAGAGCATTAGTTTAAGCGAACTAGGAATAAGGATTTACTTCTAGACTTAAACTTAGAATGCTAAGCGATGATCGTGAGGAGTGTGTCTAATATATTTTAGGAAGTACACCTGAATAGACACGGGCACTAGCTCATTTAGGGAAGATGTCTAAATTGCTTTTATGTGCTAAATGATTTGTGATGCTTTATTATGCTATCGTTTGATCGGATCTATGGTCTGTTGCCGACCGGATCTGGAAACTTTATGTGTTCAGATTTCTAAGCGTTTAATTACGATATTAGAACTGGCATGTAATTTTTCGAGGTAATAAGGAGGAATACGCGTCTAAACCTTCATCTATCTCTATTATCGTCTCAATACACCAAACGATTGCTTTGGTGTACAGAACATCATGGTGAAGACTCGTAGCGAATTAAATAAATGAAGGAAATGAGAAGGCTTACGATAGTGAATGATACCTATCGGAAGATATCGTAAGAGTGGTATCTTGCTTTTAGAATACATTTGATAAAATAACGTTATGTATAGAGGAGTATGGTACGTACGAATGTATACATTTGATTGACGGGATGATAGAACGATTGGTGTAATTCCTAAAGTTGTCCTATCGTCTGATGTTTCCATCACCAACCGAGTTGAACCAGAAGTGTTGTTGAAGATATGCATGGAAGAAGTCCTAGTAGAGTCTAGGGAAATATTTATGATTATTTGGACACATTCGTATGTGTTAAATTGTTTTGTGATTTTAAGAAATAAAAACTTGGGGACTGCGAGACAATACTTGGGACGAGTATGAGTATGTGTGAATAGTAGTAGAGGCCTATACTACCGGAAGCACAACACTCACGCTTGGATCAGGGAAAGTCACAAAGTTACCAAGGAGCTAGTAACTGATTTCGTTTTATTCAAGTATGTCGTTACCATCGTTTCGGTAATGACTAAGAAGATGATTGTTATTCCGACCCTAATGGTCATATCAAATTGAGTCTGACTACGCTGAGTATGTTATGTGGTTCAGAGAATCAAGTTCGATGTAGCATCTGACTTAAGACGAAAGATTGAAATAAAAAGCGATCAGTAGAGGTATCGCGAAAAGTTGTTTGTAGCTAGAAATGCTACCTTTTAAGATGAGATTAGAACATGAACGAAAGTATAGTCTGTTCTGGAAGACTCTAAGAGACCTGAGTCTAAGCGTTGCAACATACGATGATAGGTCATTAGAATATGACACATCGTTCCATTGTAGAAAAAAAAACTTATCATAAGTTCGTATCCAATGAGGATCGAGATTGTGACTTGAAGGTCATAATTTGGAGTCTAACGTGAGATAAGGAGCAAGTGCAAGATCGAGCACCGCCTGCAGTCGAGAAGTCCAAGAATTAGATACTCATTCGAAGGAACATAGAAGTTATGATTATTACCTAGGATAAAGAGATAACGTACGGAGTCATTATACAACCCTGTTTCGTTGATGATTCTGGGACGTAATCAACCTAAGGGGGAGATAATTGTAACGCCTGCAGATCTGGGCTAGTCAATTTAGAGACGATGAGCATCAAAAATGAGTTTTTGATGGAAGATTATTTATAAGGATTAATCTTAACCAAGTTTTAGTATATGTTACAAGGGTTCCGTACATATAAAGAAAGTCGAAATCCGAGTTATAACGAAGAAGTTATGGCTCGTCGAAGTTTTACGGCAAACCGGCACGGCACCGGGAGACGTAAATAGTGAATTTACGGTAGAATACTTTTTATCCTTATTGATCTAAACAAAATTTGTAGTATACGTTAAACCAAGAACATACAAAAAAAGAACGCCCAAATCTGACTTCGTATGAGGAAGTTATGAATTTTCTAAGATTTGGCATATAAGTGCACAGCCCGAAACTCGAATTTTAGTTCGAGCGGTTTTTGGCCTACGCGACCTAAATGAGAGTTGAAGATCTCATTAATAGGAACTCAACGGTAAAAAGACAGACGAAAACGGAGTCTGTATGTAGAAGTTATGAATTTTACGCGGATATTTAACAGAAGTACTCTGATTTTTATAAAGCATAAACAAAAATCGGTCTTTTCTGGTCGTGAAAATGGGGATGTCACACGTTCCCATTCTTTTCTCCTGTTTATTTGTTGCGTGAAGTTTAGAGATTAGAAGCATATTTATTTGAATGTAATCGTATGTTTGAGTTCAAGAATTAAGCAGAAATATGTTCCACTCTCCTGTGTTTTTAATCCTTTTTCTTAATTTATGGGAGATTAGTCATCTCAAATTGGCTCATATCATACCTCCTGCATCACCCCTCATCTTTCTATTTGTTGTTTGGGAGTGAGATTTATATGTTTATTTCATTACGTTTAGCTTGGTTCTTGAGAGATTTCGCTTATGATTTCCGTGAATAAAGGAGTTTGGTGCTACTGACGAGAGAGGGGGTACGATTTAGTAATCCGTGAGGTTGTACGATACGTAATTGAGTCTCAATGTTCAAATCTGGTCTATGGTGTCGATTCACCTGAATTTGGGTTTGTTTTTATTAATCGATTTGCAATGTAGGACTGTATTTGGGATTTTTGATTATGTGAGTGTATCTGTGTTTTTTGCACGAGTTTTGGTTTCTGATTTTTGTTTGAACTGCAACTTCGATGTTGGATTTGGATTTGAATCATATGTTCCATTTTGGTTTTTAGATTTGATTCTCAAGTTTTATTTTGGTTTTGGATTAGAGTTAAAGCTTTTGTTGTAGATGTATTTTCTTATTTATTGTTGAAGGTCATGTAGTTTGTGTTGAGTTTATGGTGATTTCCTGGCATTGGATCTATAATGGAGAGAGGATGATCGGAGCCAGATATGATGACAGGAGGTGGTGTCGGAGTCGAAGATGATGATCGGAGGTGGTGTCGGGAACTGGAAGAGGATTAAGGTGAGGTGGGTCCCTTTAATAATAATATTTAATAAATTTAGTTTATTTAATAATAACTGAAATAAAAAAAGAGTTAACAAAATAAAAACAATCATTAAGGGCAAAATAGTCATTTTAAGTCTGGCAGGGACCATAGACGCAGTAAAAACATACCATGAGGACTTTCCGAGTTAGAAAAAAAAAAAGTTAGGGACCAAGCTTGCAAATTACCCCAAACCATAGGGACTATCCGTGTAATTTACTCCAAAAAAAAAGTTGCATTCTGTCAACTTCTGATTTTTCTAAATTCCAATTTCGCAAGTATAATCGTGGTTTGTCAACAATGACAAGTATAATGTTTTAAGAATGTGAAACAAGCAATACCACAACTTTATACATAAGTAGGAAATAATGTGAAAAAACATGTCTTGGATGTCATGTTTATTATCTGACCTTCAACTTCCTTGTTTTGTAATAATATACTTTTAGTGGCTTCTAGTGGACCTATCCGTGTACCTGATTTACATCTCACAAGTGTGTCATTGTTTTCTTCTCACCAGTAATTGCCACAAGAACATTTCCCATTCCTGAAATGATGAAACCTCTTCCCATCTCTCACAACAATTTCTCTTTCCATAACTTGCGACATGAACTCAAACGCATTATGACAATCCCCACAAATCCTCAAGTTCTTGAAAACCCTAATCATGGCTCCCGAAGGAAGCTTCAAAATCCCAAAAGCAACTGCAAGCTTTTCACTATGAGTAGACAAAGCGTATTCCTTTTGCTCGTTCTTCATATCATGCAACACAAACTTCGTATCCGGAACATACCCTAATTTCCTCATTTTAGTAACCAATTCCTCAAGGTATTCATACACCTTCTGAACCTATGGGTGCTTAGTGTCATCCACCAAAAATACATGGATCATATTGTCAACTTCAATCCAACTACACGCAGGCTCTTTCTTCACTCCTCGAGACCTCATCAAATTCCGAACCCTTGCAACATCGTTCCATTTTCCCGAGTTGGAGTACATGTTTGATAAAAGTATGTAGGTCCCATCATGATCCCGAGTTGGAGTACATGCTTTTATTCTGTTTATTTCTCGATCTTAACGGCGGTAGCGTTGCCGACGTTGGTTAGTGGCGGGTGAAGGTCGTCGGCGTTAGTTTATTGTTTAAAAACCTATTTTGTATATTGTTAACTGATTTTTGTTTTCATGGTTTATGCCCGAATTAAGTGACACACATTTTTCAATATATGATGTACCTGACAGAATCTGATTACATGGATGATATATTTTCAATGTCTTGGAAGTTGTAACAATTTATATTCATTGGTCAAACATATAAAAAAGCTACAGTTAATAAATGATTTGAAAATTTTTCACCAGAAAAATAATAACGAGAGGAGTAGGTTTAAAAATTGAAGGGTAGGGATAACATTACCCAAAAAAAAAAAAAAATTGGTCCAGACCTCTATGGGGTGGTGTAGCATACTAGCGTACGTAATGTTTCATAACGTTGGGTTCATGAGGCTCATATTTTGGAAACTCTCAGACTGGTCGGAGTGGGCAACGCCCACTCACGTGTTTTGAAGAAAAAAGAAGAAAACGGCGTTAGAGGATGTGGTGGTGGTAACGAAAAGTAACGTGCAAGTTAATAACGCGCAATAACGGAGAGATGGAGCGGTGTTTGCGCCGTTATAACATGCAATAACGCCCCCTTGGGCGTTGCCCACACCCAACTGCCTCATGGATGGATAATTGGATATGTTTTTTTTCTTGATGACAGCAAAAGAGTCTTCTTTTGAAGGCTTCTTTCAGATGAGGTCTACTTCCAACTAAGCAATAAATATGTCATGTCATTTGCTAACCTCTAGTATCAGTTACCATAAGATGTAAGTTGAACAAATTGTGTACTTGGGTGGTATCATGTATATAAAGAGGGTGTTTGGCATAGGTTTTAAAGTGACTTTTCACTTTTCTCTTTTCTAAAAGTCAAAAAGATTTTTGGTAAAATGAAAAGGATTTTTGTAATCAACTTTTTCAATAGAGGAAATCTTGTCTTTTTGAAAAGCCAAGTAAACGTGACTTTTCCAACTTTTCAACCACTTAAAACATTAAATTACCTTTATACCCCCAGCTACCATAATCAATGTAAATATGTAAACATATCCTTTTTAGTCATTTAAATGTAAAAGTTAAACCAAACACTTTTTAAAAAACATTTTTTGTAAAAAGTCCTTTTAGAAAAAGTCATTTTACAAAAAGGACTTTTGCCCCTCAAAAGCTAAGCCAAACACCCTCAAAGACAATAGTTGATTGGTATTTTTTGTATTTACCAAACTTGAATGATGTTTTTTGAACAATTTTGATACTTGGTTACCCTTGTAAGTCATTTTCCCTTCCTATTTTGGACAGCAATGTTAGTCTAAAACTTTTTGGATCAAAATGATAATTTTGAGCTAGAGATATGGACTATTTTTGCAATTTAGTCTAAAAAAATAAAAGAAATTACCGTGAGAGACGGGAACTTCCCACCTCACGTTCAACATAAAGCTTTGAATCCAATGTATCAACAACTTTTTCTTTTTTTTTTACAAATTTGGATTCATCAAACAAATATGTAAAATAAAAATGGAAAATGAATTTGTTAAAAAACATTATTTGTTAAAAACAAAAGGTTTTAGAAAGAAGCCATATAAATGAAGATGTTTTCTACGAAACTATATTTAAAAAATAGAAAACTAAAGTTATAAAAAAGTTTTGGAATTTTTTTGAAAAAAATATACTAAAATCATAATAGAAATTAAAATCTCGTCCTTGTTAAAAGAAAATTTGGATGTGACAAAAGGTAAAAGGGAGAAAATCTTGGCCAAATTTGTAAAAAGGCTAACCTGGTGGTGCAAATGGTAAGAAATGAAGAATGTTGAAGGATTAAAAAAAATAGGGTCGGGCAATAATCAAAACCACACCCTACTAGGGGTGTTTGTTTGGATGGATTGGTTTGATCCGATCCAATCAAGTGAATCCAAATTGATTTCGGTTTTCAAAAGATGGATCCGAATAGTCCAAACTAAATTGAAATCCGATCCGATCCAATCCAATTACAATTCAGTTAGATCGGTTTTTATAATTCGATTTTCAAAAACCGAAACATTTTAAAACGACAAATAATTATAATATTATCAACTTTACACAAGAAGCAAAAACAAAATTATTTACATGTGATTTGAAATTTATAAAGAATTATTACGAAGATATATTATAGTTAAATATTTTATAAATAGAAAACTTTTGAGAGAAAATGCATATTAATGTTTTTTTATCGGGTGAAACGTTTGCACCTATTTGAAAAAATAAATTACAAAATTAATAAATAACTATAGATATATATGTTTTAAAATAAATAAATAATAAATGCTTATTCGGTTTTTTTGGACTATTCGGTTCTTATTTTATAAACCAAAACCAATCCGAAATCCAAAATAATAATTCGGTTTTGTTGAAAACCAATCCGAATATCCGAACCAAATTGTCCAATCCAAATTGTCCAATTGGACAATTCGGTTTTATCCAAATAGTGAACAGTCCTACACCCTACTGCCGACTAGAAACATTGTTTTATAACTTAAAAACTGGGGTAACATAGAAAAAACTCATTTATGAACAGTAAGAAAGAAAGAGGGACGCGAGGCTCAATTTAGCTCTAAAACTAATTTTTTTTAAAAAATAATAATAAAAAATAAAAAACTGTTTGCGATCTTTAACTCAAAACGTAAATTGATTACCAAAAACCAAAAAAAAATTATCTTGCAACACTAATGAATCATAATAAGTATCTTCGGCAGCTATTGGAAACTCATACCTTCGATAATTTATCCTTCAACACTGATAAAATCATCTTCCTATGGATGCAAAAGATACCTCAAAAATATGTACCTAGGAATTTGATAAGAGAGAAGGCTGAAACCGTCATACGTCTTGGGTAGTAAAGCTTCCAAGCGAGACCGATAAAAGGTTTTTTTTGGAGAAAAGAACAACGATCTGTGCACATCGATCGATATGGTACCTTGTCAGAAACTAAAATGGAGAGAGAGAGAGAGATGGGTGGTTTTGAGGTTTTTTTTTTTTTAATAATAACAAAATAAAGAAGTAAATTAAAAGAAATTGAAACTAACATATATATTTGTCATTTTAGGTTGTTTGTTGACCAAATTCACAAAAAATAAAGTTTTGGGGAACAAAACAATAAAAAAGAAAATTATGGTTCGGAGAAAAATACAAGTTCAAGACCTTATCTATAGTTTTTAACAAACCATAGGGACCAAATTTGCAATTTAGTCTATAAAAAGAACAAAATACTTATTATTTTTAACTAAGTCATACCCTATTGTCTCTTAGACTCGTTTATAACCCTACTTACTCACAGAAGTCTTCATCTTGTTACCGTCTTTCGATCAAACTAGTCTGAAGAGAAAAGGAGCTTTTCTCTGATAAAATGGCCGACGATGACTATGATATGGACGCTGGAGGGTAAACAGCTTCTCTATAATCATCTCCTGTTTACTAATAATCTTTCTCTCGTATTTGATTTCTCGAAAAAACATTTCAATTTTCTCTTGGTTTTGCAGTTACGACGATGAGCCAGCCGAACCCGAACTCGATGTAAGAAAAATGTTTCTGAATTTTGATGAATAGTTCTATATGAAATCGCATTACCTCTTAATTATAAATGATTGTGTGCTCAAATTTGTTCCTTTTTCAGGAAGGGGCTGAGGAAGAGATTGATGGAGATAAAGTGGAAGAAGACGTTCCTGATCCACTTTTAGGTGACAACGAAGATAAGGAAGAACAGGAAGCTGTAGAAAAACCTCGGAAGACGATAAAGTATATGACGAAATATGAAAGGGCTAGAATCTTGGGTACCCGTGCACTTCAAATTAGGTTTGATTTCGCTGTTTTTTTCTTCTGCACTTGATAATCAATTCAATTAAAGCTAATATATGATTCTTAAACTTGTGTTTTGTTCTCGTACATTGTTAATGCTTGAAATGATTTTTGACATATGGTGTTTTCTTGTTTGTTATGTATATTCACAGCATGAATGCTCCAGTGATGGTTGAGCTTGAGGGTGAAACTGACCCCCTTGAGGTAATGATTCTTACGCCACCATTGTTATTCTTTTTCTGAAAAAAAAAAATTCCAACTTTGTCTGTTTTCTTATGACAATCATTAGAAGATATCGTTATTTGATCATTGGTTGAATATTTTTGTTAAACTATTTGTCAAGTTTGGGGATAAATTACTTGGCTTTTTCTTTCATATAGAATGTTTGAATTTCGAATGAAGGATATCCCCAATGTTAAACTATTTTCGAATGAAGGATATTGGTTGTAAAATGCAAACAACATCCTTTTACCAATGGAATTCACTTCCTACTCATTCTTGTTAGAAATACTCAAATACCCATTATCATTTATCAGGTTGTTGTTTTATGGATTATACCTAAGCTAAGACCTCACTTATGGATTCTGAATCAGTGTCTTTGTTTAATTTATTATAGATTGCAATGAAGGAGCTTAGACAGAGGAAGATACCCTTCACCATTCGGCGATACCTTCCGGATGGAAGGTAAGATTCTTATCTTCCATTCTCACACAAACCCTTTTTATTTTAAAAAATGGTGTGATATCATATGTTTTTTTTGTTTCAGCTATGAAGACTGGGGAGTTGATGAACTAATCGTTGAGGATTCATGGAAGAGACAAGTTGGTGGGGACTAGTTGAAATAAATCATCTGAATGTCATGTTTATGATGGATTATGTTGATACAAATGATTTGAATTGTTATCATCTCATGATGCATATTTATGTTCAACTTTGGAATTATTATGATTTGAAATTTGTGAAAGGTGGTTTTGTTATCAAGTTGTTTTTTATCTTTGTTTCCAACAAGAATCAATCATATATATTTTGTAAATCTTGCTTTATGCATGTAATCAGGTAAGTTAAGAGACATGGTTAACTACAAGGTTTTGCGTTTCACTGTTTTCATCAATATGGCAAACAACATTCAGCTGAAGAGATGCAAAATAACAAGTGACACTAAATTCACCAACAAATTCTAGGGAATCTCCATCTCAATTGAGCAATCAAGTTTTTCTTCATTAATTAAGATTCTCTTCAATGAACCATTCATGATAGTTTAATCAGATTAACATCAAACAAAAAGGCATAATTAACTTAACAGGTGTAAACATGGATACTTTTTGTTTGAGTATGTCAATAAAGAAAGTGAAAGTACAACCATGGTTTAATCAGCATAAAAAAAAATACCATTCTATAATTCTTTTAGTAAAGATTTATCCTTACACTTGCAAACAGAAAACCAGTCTATCATCTGAATGCAAAAAATACAAAAGGTTAAAAAGCAAAGGGGGCATATGTTCATAATCACTTGTGCAAGACACTCTTTTTCGGGAGTTGTTTTTTTCTCTGTGTATGTTTCTGCAATCAAGAGACAGAATACAATAGCAAGCAACAGTTAAAAAAAAAAGTAAGTGGAACTGTAAACAGTTAATGTCATAAATAGGTAACAAACTATTTGTTTTTTATTTTACAATAACACCATTGTATTTTCAAGATACAGCTAATTAGGACATTTTATGAAATAATTCGTTACCCATTTATGACAGTAATAGAGAAAAATATAACCTTTTGTCTGGCCAAGGCCTCAACATCTGTTCTCTCTTTCCAGTTGCTCTTGCGCAGTTTGATTGGCCGATTACCAACATATTTCCCTACAAAAAAAAAAAAACGCAATTTTTACCTTTTTGGTAAATTTTTAATACTACTTATACTTTTTTCACCCTTTAGTAACTTTGATTTTAGTCCACAATTTTTATATTATTAAGTCAACATTTTTATTTCATTTAACAAGTAAAAGATTACTGAAATTTTATTTTATGGGAAAAAGATGATATTTTACTCACCATTCATTTCTTTAAGAGCACCAGCAAGATCGGTTGGGTTGGAAAAACTCACAAATCCATACCCTTTTGTCTTTCCAGTTCGCTTATCTCGGACAACCTAAATTATTGTAATAAAAGAAAATGAAAATTGGTATAATAAAGAAGCATAGATACTAACTACATACGTAATGATTGATTTATGTAAAGATAAGAAACTGACCTTTGCCATGTTGAATGAAGGAAATCTTTGGAAAGCTTTTGAAAGAACATCATCATTAACCTCATTTCCAAGATCTCCACAAAATAGACGATAATCATCTGCAAAAACATCACTACAATCATCAACAACAAGATGAGATTTTGCTATCAGAAAATTACAATTCTCAGACAATCAGATGGATGACTCTATATACTACAAACTGAAGAAATCTTGTGTCTGGATAAATAACATAAAAAATAAATAAATAAATAAAACTTACTTTCTGGCCACTCTGCCAATGTTGGATCCTCCCAAGCTTGACCAGCTGCTTTACGAGGTATGGCTCTCTTTTTGACCTCTGCTTTATGCTCCACTTCACTGCTTGCAAGTGCAGCCTTCACACTTTCTAGAGCTTCAGGTGTAATTGTTTGTGCATCCCTTTGAAATAGCTGTTGTGCCTATTTAAAAAAAGATTAAAAAGAAAACAACTCTTTCAGTTCCAAGATGATATAATATCACACATTTTCAGATCAAATGTCGTATGCTCATGCTCTATTACTTTATTTTCAGATCAATAGATGTTAGGAGGGATTCTTACAAAGTCAATTTGCAGGGTTTGGTATTTTGTTACTTTTGGCTTTTGCAGATAAACTTTTTGAAATCACTTGGTTCTTGGATCATTTATTACAATTTTGTGTAGAGTTTCTTTGTGCATCTTTATTGGTCATTCCACAATATACGAAAGGATATGGATATTATTCTTAATGCCTACAAGAAAAAAATTTGTTATAACTACTTGCAATGTTGATTTTCCCCCCAAAAAAAGATATTATGTTGGGTTATTAGGCATACAAAATGGTGGTCAAGTAAGCCAGCCTTTATGGCCCACTGTAGGAATTGTTGCACACACTAGTTGTTGACAATTGAAATCCAAAATATTTCTAATGAGATTAATAAAGATATATATGACACCCTTAGCTTCAGAGTCAAAATGACTTGTAATAAGTATTATGATTTATGATTGCTCAAGCTGCAACTAACCATTGAAGACTTCATTGGCTGATATCTGGAAAGCATTCCTTAATCATGTTCTCATTGAGAAGGTTTATAAAGATAAGCCTCGCCAGATTTATGGTTCAAGATGATTAATTCATTTCTTAATGATTATCTTGGCCAATAGAAAGGTTTGGATCATTTTACAGTTATACCGAAAACTCTGTGTTCTCTGAAGACATATATTTTGACGCAGACACCCTTGTTTTGATCAAGTGTGAACTATCAAGATCTTATATTCTTATATAGTTTAGGAGAAAAAACTAATTCCTTTAGTTACGAAGAAATGCAACAATCAGTTTTGGGCCAATATCATTAGGACTTTCTTGGCCCATTCAATGTCTCAAATTTCTGTGGATAAATATGTTACAATCTTAAGAGCATATACTTGGGAAAATTGAAAAGGCAGGTTTTTAAATCCTTCAAATTGATCCTACAATAATGTGTAGAATAGTAACGTTGTGGTTGATGGGGCAGCCTAAGTAGTCCCTACTCTAATAATTGCTAAATGTTCCAAAATCATCTTGCAATTCTTCAAATTACTAGCATGGAAGTACGAACATTAAATGGTCAACGCTTAACTGAAATAATTAATTAGGGTTGACAGAAATTACCTGCTGGAACTGGGGAAAGTAGACTCCAGGGACAGAAGTGGATGGAGTAGCGTAGGCGGGAGGTGGAGCGGGGAATTGAACGACCGAAGGCGGAGGAGGAGGAGCTGCAGCAGGGTATGTTTGGGGTTGTTGAAGGTGAAAGGGCATCGGAAAATACGAGCCATTGTTGTTGGAGTATGTGAACTGGGAAGAAGAAGATGCAGAGGAATTCGGTGGATTCGACATCTTTCCTCCAACAAACGGATCTCACGCTTCAGTTGTGAATTGGTGTAAAATGTTAGGGTTCTTGTTCGTTGATTCGGAGTGAAATTGGGGAAGAGGGTTTTGAACTAAATATGTTTTGCAAAGTAAATTGGGAAAATTTCTTAATAAGTTTCATTTAGTTAGTGATTTATTTTTGTCCATATTTGATTATTTAATTATTAGTTTATAACCAATAGGAATCCCTGAGTTATAAAATTAATTAAATTTTTATAATAAAAATTTATAATTATTTTAAATAAATCATTTTAAATAAATTATTAATTAAGTGATATATCAAATTTTAAAATTTATTATAACTTCAAATTTAACATATAATTAGAAAATATAAATTTAAATTTTGAAATTAGTTGCCTAATATAACTACATGACACATGACATAATATTAATAAAAAATTGTATTAAAGTGACACTTGGAAATAAAAAACGAGATTAAAACTATTCATTTATTAAAATAAGGATTTATATATATATATATATATATATATATATATATATATATATATATATATATATATATATATATATTCAGTCAATCGGTTACTCTTAAGTTAGAAAAATGACTTAATCGTGTATGGGATTGTTTTTAAACTTTTAGCAAAATGACTTATTACTTTTTAAAAATAGGTTTATAAAAAAAATGTATGGATTAGCTTTTGTAGTTGAAAAAAATCAATAAGTGAATAAGTTAAAAAATGTTTAGTTAGCTTTTATGTATATGTAAACTAACCTAAAAATGATTTATTGACTTATGACTATTGAAAAAGCCATTTTTTTGTAACTTCTTGAGACCTTCATTCTCCCTTGCCACAAAGCCATTTCAAAAGGATTTTTCAAGAAAATCATTAAGTTAATAAATCAATTTAAAAAGCAATCTCAAAACACCCACTAAATATGGTAATATAATTTTCAGTTTGTACATATTTAGTCCTTAATGTTTTTGTACATATTTAGTCATTATGACCGACTTCTTCGGATTTTACTCACAGTATCCTGTGTGGGACAATAATTAACGAGGTGTTCTCATATGTGACTCATCTTTCACTTATATCAGTAACCTAATTCACGAATCGGTCAAATAACGTGAGTGCCCTAGTTTTCTCTAAGCAGATGATGTCTTCGACTTCAGTTTTATCTATCTCCACAGCAGACAACAAGATTATTTGTAATTACTTCCTCCCAACTCGAATTTACACTTCCAAGACAAAAAAATTAAGGAAGACGCTAAAAGAATTTGCATTTCTAATACAAAATAACACCCTGATGAAAAGTTTTATCGATCTTCATAATAGACAACAAGATAATTTGTGATTGCTTCCTCCCAACTCAAATTTCCGCTTCCAAGATAAAGAATTTTGTTGTCTATTATGAAGATATATGAAACCGAAGTCGAAGACATCTTCAGCTTAGAGAAAGCTAAGTCACCGACATTATTTGATCGATTCGAGAATTAGGTTACTGATATAAGTGAGAAACGAGTCACGTATGAGAGTGTCTCGTTAGTGATTGTCTTACGTAAGATGTCGTGAGCAAAAACCTAAAGAAACTTGTCATAATGACTAAATGTGAACAAAACATTAATGGCTAAATGTATACAAATTGAAAATTATATTACCATATTAAGTCAGTTTTCCGATTAAACTTGAAGTAGCCGGTTATAAGAATTAAATGTGAACAAAAAAACAAGTTAAATGGTCAAATGTAGATAAAAAAATCAATGACTAAATAAGTACAAAATAAAAAAATACATTATCCTATTAAGTTATTTTCTCATGTAAATATTACACTATATATTTTAGATACTTTTTAGATAAAAAAAATTATTCATAATTCTTTGAGAAA